GCTAATTACGCTTGGCATAGCCCAGCATGACGGGCGCGCACAATTCAACACGGCGTGACATCGGCACGCTTCTGGGCGTGCTAGGGGTTTCAGCTTGCAGGTGCGATTCGTTCCGAAGTGGCGACAGAAAAAACCAACGGAGGGCAAGAACAGACTTCCAACAGTCAATCATTGGTTCGAAGTGATGTGGGTGAAACGTCTCTCGACCAGATCTGCCATTCGCACAGACCGCAGTGCGCACCATACCTGCCAAATCCGTTGTCATGAATGTGCATGCTATTTCTAAACTGACAGCGAGTTAGATATTCATAGCAATCCCTAACGCCAAGCCAAATGTGGTCCAGCTTACATGGTTACCCACGTGTTGCTACGGAGGCTTGATGTTTGAGATGTGTGCCAATGAGGCCCACCGAATGCTAATATATTCTTCCCGATTTATTGATCCGTGTGTTACAGTACTGACCGACGCGCTGTTGCAGGCCGGCCTGCAGACAACCATGGACTCTGCAGTCTGCAAAGGCCGTTGCAGTGGCTCAGTTCAATGTCTCCGAGCCAACAGTTCAAGACCGCATACAAACCAGAGAACGAGAGCCCTGATACACATTACAGCCCCGACCTCACTCCGCACTGGACGCTGCATTTGCACACAATATCGCCGCGGGCTGGTGGCGGCGGCGCGCGCGGCGTCCGTACCGCCGCGCGGCAGGCGCTGCGGCGCCCCGCCTGCGCCTGCGCCTGCGCCCGCCGCGGCGCCTGACGACAGCGGCTGCCGCCCGCGGCCGTGACCGCCGCGTGGAGCGGAGCGGCGCGCTGACCCGGGCCGGCCGCGCGCCCGCCGCCATATTTGGCAGCAGGTGAGGCCCACTGCTCGTCCACCCAGTGACCGGTCCCATTGGCGGGTGCTGTGGTCACTTTCACGGACACACCAATCAAATAGCTGCGCTCCCTGCACCGGCACGCCTTTTTCCAGCACGTGTCGGTGATCTCAAAGAAACTCTATTTATAGAAGGCCTCTTATAAATAGAACACGTCAACACGCGCATGAACGCATGCACACACACACATACATACAGTTTATATATATATATATATATATATATATATATATATATATATATATATATATACGTGCGTGCGTGCGTGCGTACGTGTATGCGCGTGGGTGCGTGCGTGCGTGCGTGTATGCGCGTGCGTGTGTGTGTGTGTCAAGCATCGCGTGACGTAACCAGAAATAAAATACAAGCAGGTTCTATGCATTCACGCCACGCTACCTACAACATGGCCAACGATCGCTGACCATTCTTCCAACACTAAACACACGCGTTCAGGGTGGAGGGGTGTCTTATATCTAGCTCGAACGAATACCCTGTCCGTGTCGCACCTTTACGATCCTGCGCTTACGATCCATCCACCTTATTTGAGATCACCTTGGTGCATTTAGCAGTATCATTGCGAGCGATTTCACCGTTTAATGAATTATAGCCGCTGACGTTGCCATGATAAGCTTACTTCATTTTCCGAGGCGCACCGTTTCGCAACTTTAAATCCCATTTGTCAGGCGGAGGACTTCCTGGACGCGAAAGCCTTCCACTCATCTGATTAGTGTCTTGAGAGTCGCGAGCGGCGGGGGCCCGGCCGCTGCCAGGCCCCCGCCGTGGCCAGCGCCTGCACACCAGCCAGGCCGGAGCCCCGCTGGCCGCCCACCAGCCAAGCCGGAGCCCCACTGGCCGCCCACCAGCGGCGACTACAGGCGGCCGACAGGATCTGCCGCCGACGCCGGCGCTACCCCCCCCCCCCCCCTCCCCGACCCGCGCCACTCCTCTTCTGCCCACCTTTCCCACTGATGCGGGGCGCCCGAGCTGGCTTGGTTCCGTGACCCGCTGTGCCCAGCAGTGTCCGGGAGGGTTCAGTCGAGGTCCAGTGGGTGCGCATGCATCCGGGTGAGTTCGGTCGGCGGCCGGCGGGCCCGGGCCACGGCGGACAGCGTCCCATCGCACCTGGATGGGCTCACCGCTCACCCCGGTTGGCGTCCGGGTCAGCCGGAGGCGGCTGGGCCCGCTCCGTCTCCGGACGGCTGCAGACAGGCGCGGGCGGGATCCCCGGCGGATCCCCGGCGCGCCCCGGCGGATCCGGGGCGTGGCCCGCCCCGCTCAGCTGACGCCCGGCCCGCGCGGACCGCCGCCCGGACGAGCGAGGGGCGTCCGCAAAAACGGGGCGCGTCTGCCGTCAGCGGCGGCGGCGGCAGCGGCGGCGCGGCGGCCGGCCGGCGGTGGCGGCGGCCGGCCGGGCGCGGCGGCGCGACAACAAAAACCGGGCCCGCTCGGCCGTGCGGATGCCGGGCCGGCGGCCGACGGGCCCGCCAGCTCTCACCGACTCCGGCGCGCTCTGGCTCGGGTCCGAGCTCGCGCGCAGCCGGCTCCCAGAGACCAGCAGCTCACCGGTCCTTCTTGCGCGGGTCCTCGTCGCTTCAGTCTGAAGTCAATAGCTGTCAGTCAGCGAGCCTCACAGCTCGGACGATTCTCAGCTAGCCCCTCAGCTCACAGCAACGGTGCAGCTCTGCAGCGATTCAGGTTCGGGTTCAGTTCTCTATGAGGTCTTGTAAACCCCGACAATTCACATAGCGGTTTTCCAGGAGCTACTTGGCTTCATCCCTGTCACCCCGACATTCGTCTACTTAGCTCATCTGATAGCGTGCAACCTCTTCGGAAGCCCGCGGAAACGCCTTATCGCCTCAGGGGTCGCTGTTCGAAGGCTTCCGTGAAGCGGGGCTGCCTACAAATTAGAAAAGATCATTGCCTTCTTTTGCGAGGCGTCCTTTCAAGTAACGAATGAGCGAAACGCAATGCACCTAACACTCGCAATTTCTTCATAGCATTTGACACTGAAACGAAAAGTCATCGCGCCATTGAAAGTGTTAGCTGGTACGTGAAACGTTCAGCTGCAGGGATACGAAAGTTAATGCAGCATCTAGACATACACTCGATACCGGGGCATTGCATCGTCACCTTAAACAAAACCTGGGTGGCTGCAGTGCCGTGAACGGGAGCGTTAGAAAGCAATGTGAAAAGCAAACTAAAAGCGGAAGGGCTTGGTTTCATAACAGCGACACAATAAATTACATAGTTCCGGTGAAACCTCTCGGAGGAAGTCCCCAACAAAAAGGGCCGACGTCAAATAATAGTTCCGAATAACTGGTGTGAAACGCCAAAGGCAAAACGTTTCCAAAAGTGATGGTGATGAAATCGCCATTTTGCTCCATTCATTTCATGCCGCGCCATAAAACAGTCGCTAATTTTTCTGAGGCATTGAAAATGCGGCCACATTCCCACATAGCAATGACGTAACATCCACATGAGCAGCTGTACGCATCGCACCTCTCCGTCGTAAGGCGTGGCCGAGGGTCACCCGACACGCAACTGTACAACCCGCCTGAGAAGCTGTTGTTGGACACCGGACAGGTTTGTATCTCCCCGACACAATTCATCAAAAGAGCGTGCTCGATAACCCGGCCGTGGTCGCGGCCCTGGCAGTGTCGAACATCTCTTTATAGCCGACTAAGAACATCATCGGGGTCGTTGCAGTTTAGCCCAGTATGCGCGGCCTTTGCAGGGCCATTTCCTGCCGGGAATACCTTGAATTATGACTGTTCCCGAACTAAACAATCAAGCTAAACACGCATCTAATCAACCACATTTAAACCGTCCAGAGTAGTGCTCTGCGCGGCAGGAACATCCTGGCAGCACACGCTGGATCACATCACTCAATTCCCGGTACCTCTCTCTTGCCTGCACGCTCCACCCTAGCGGAAACATGACCCCTGCTTTTGGCTAATCCGGCAGATATTTTCGGCCCGGTACATGTAACGCATAGCCGTGCGTGTAGCACGCGGCAAAATCCCCTCCAAGTCGCGGCAGCACGCGGGCGCTGCCTGAACCGGTCTCTTTCTCGACCCCGGCATGGCTTGGCCACAATACAACTCTCCCCAGAGACCCTCGTATCTCGCGCTCGAAGCGAAGTCTCCCACGTCAGGAGCGTGTCGTCAGGCCCGCCAAGCTAAACGTGATGTCGACCCAGGCGCTATGGCGAGTAACTTCACCGCTGAACTCGCGCCCAGATTCGCGCTCCGCTGGGCCAGCGGCGGACGCAGAGATCGAGCGTTACGTCGATGGGTGCAGGGTCGGGTGCGCCGGCAAACGCCGACAGCGTGACGCGGGACGTAAGCCGACTGTAAACAGCGCGGTGCCCTCGATGCCCTTCACACACACTCACACACACACACACATGCGCGCGCACGCTCACACACACACACGCGCGCGCGCACACACACACTCACACACACACTCGCACACACACACGCGCGCGCGCACACTCATACACACACACGCGCGCGCGCACACTCACACACACACACACACACGCTCGCGCGCACACTCTCACACACACACACACATGCGCGCACACACTCACACACACACGCGCGCGCGCACACACACTCACTCACACACTTGCACACACACACACACATGCGCGCGCGCACACTCGCGCACACACACGCGCGCGCACACTCACACATACACACGCGCGCACACACACACTCACACACACCCACGCGCGCGCGCACACTCACACACACATACACACACACACACTCACACACACACACACACACACACACACACACACACACACTCACACACACACACACACACACACACACACACACACACACACACACACACACACACACACACACACACCACACACTCACACACACACACACATACATACACACACACACACTCACGTGTGCGCAGCTCACAGAGGGCCGTCGTCCCGCTCGGCTCCGCGCACAGTCCTCTGAACCCACGGACGCCGTCGAGCCCGAGCCGGGGAGCACGTCCAGACCGTCCGAGGCCGTGGCCCGACGGCGGCCGGGGAGCACGCCGTCGGCGCCAGCGTGCGGCCATGATGCGTGCCGCCGCCGCCGGCGGCAGTCCTACCTGTGCGTGGGTCGCGCCGCCGCCGCCGCCGCGCCACAGCGGCCGCAGGAGGTCGCAGCGCACCGGTCGCCGTCGGTCGCGTCCGCGCGTGACACGGAGCGCACCCGTCGGCCGCCACCGCCGCGTCCGTGGCCGCTTTCACTGGCGGCCGGCCGCCGCCGCCGCCGCCGCCTCCGGCCGGCATCAACAGCGAGGCGCACGGCGCATGTGCAGAGAGCGACCGACGCCGGCTGGCGGCGTGCCGCCGACACGGCGGGGAGGGGCGCGTCGGGGGCGTCGATCGACGCGGCGACAGCTGAGCCGGCGGCCGCGGCCGACGGCGCGGTCAGCACAGAGATACCGCCTCAGGTGCGACGCCCGCCGCGGGGGGCCGCCACTGACCTTGGGCAGGGGCGCAGTGGCGGAGGCAGATAGCCGCCGCCGGGGAGGCGCCGCCATCGGCCGCACGTGCCGCCGAGGAAGGAGCTTCCTCCGTCCACGCCTTCGTCTCAGCCGCCGTTGTTACGTCTTCCAATAACACGAGGGTGACTTGCGGGATCAGACGTTTCTACGGTCCCGCGGATAGCAAAAGGTGCAAAATATAGCACTGGGAGGAAAGCAGCTAGGCGGTATCGTTTCTCCGGTAAGCGTCCACATAATACATTACCGCATTACCGTCAACGGGCTACGGTTGTGGCGGCATAGCGCACAGCATCCGTATATGGCTGTGAAACGATGCATATCCATGCATGTACCAATACACCACGATACACTGTAGGCTTTGCGGTGCCGAAAACTAAACGACAATTTCAGTGCGGTGATGTGTACCGGTGAATAGCACTGAATCAGTACTAAACTACCGGTGGTATGAATATACGCAAGGTTCACGGAAATCCGATACCAAGCTCCGGCCTCAGTTAAACCTGCCCACTCTAGGGCGGTATTCACACACCAAGATTTATGCTGCTACGGTGCGGCTGTTAGGTCCGGCGCGTCAAGAAAACCTCACAGGAAGTTGTCTTTCTTGCACCGCTAAGCTGACGCGAACAGGCGTCACAGCCTGCCAAACAAGTCAGTGCGTACGCAATGTCTTCCGCTTGCTCGCAAGTGTTGCTGTTAAACTAAAGATTCCGTAGTCATGTTGAATTGTTGTGTAGTCAAGGGAGCCGGGGTCAGGCGTGTGTCTGGATTCCAAGGGTGGATCCAGGATCCTATAGGGTTCCTTGTTACTAGGATCCGAGATCGGATCCTGCGGTCTTTTGTGAGGCTCCGGACACGTGTCTGACCGGTTACGCTGATTTTTGGGTATTACCCACTTAGAGAGTTGCGGCGTCCCCTCGTAGATGAGCATTGAGGTTTTAGGGCGATACGATTGCCAGTCGCTTTAGGTCCCGGGATATAGCCCCAATTCGTAATCATGTGTGTGTTTGCTGGATGCTTGGCACAATATGGATAGGCTCGGTGGCCCAATTTCTCGGGGCCTTCGGGAAGATTTTATATTTTAGAGAGACAGAGCGGCAGTGGCGTTCCGCAGAAACAGGGCCATCAGCCCGTGTCTAGCCGAATAAACCAATGTTACGTCTGTATGATTATAAGGCAGACCTACCGCCACATCCTGCCTCGGTTTGTAGCCCGTTTATGAGCCATGGTTCCGTTTTCACCGATGCTGGGCATTATAACCGGCGAGTCGAATGTGGCCTGCGCGTATCTCGGCCCAACCACACTGGAACTTCCCCACTCCCACGGACCGGCGCACCCCAACTCTACAACGTGACCACGTGACCACTACAGCATTTTGCCGCCGAAACATCCGCAGCGTGCACATATGCGCGGCCGATGTAACAAGTATTCGGTCTGTTGCCACCGTCAGTGGCACAAAATACTTTGCGCAACGTCCCCGGTGGCACTTATACGGTCGTCACCAGCTTGTCCTGAGGAGAGTCTCAGGAGGTTTGGCGCGTGGCCACACGTGCGCGTACATCAGCATCGAAGGTTTCTGGCGGTTTCAAGTTTCGAACCCATAGTCTCATGTTTGGTAAACAAGCGCTGTGATCCCAAGTCCGCCGATACTTGTGTGTACCAGGGAAAAGGACGCGATGGGGCATAAGTAAACCTCTGACGACAAGTGCAGTCTGAATAATTACACAGCTGGTACCAGCAATTCGTCTTAAACATCCGTGATGCCACGACGTGTGCGGTCTTCACTAGCAGTCACTTTGCTTGGAGAGCGTCTTTATGTATTTTCTGGAGTACGGGAACTTCTCTGTCGCTCAGATTAGCCACTCTCCGATAGCCCTATTGCTCGACTTTGGAAGTGAAAGCATAGTTCTAACGCTCCACGTAACATTTGAAAATGGGCAATGTAACATTTCAACATTTGAAACTGGGCTAAACATTTGAAACGTAACATTTGAAAATGGGCAAACATGGGCAGGGAGAGATGTTTTCTCGTCTGAAAACATCAAAAGCTTATCTCTTTTTCTGCCATCAGCGAGCTCGAACTAACAGCATTCACAAATCAATGTTTATGGGTAGACGGGTGCCAGAGCTAGACTATTTTTAACCTTACAATCTTCAGAGGCTGCTAATTTTGCCGCACCCGACTGAAATTGAGGCCAGTGAAATATTTCTGCGATGAGCGAGAACCAGGCCCAGCCCCTTATCCATGTGCGAACCACGTCCGTCCCGCCGTTGTCCAAACCCACACATCATAAAACCATGCGTGCAGTTATCAAAGGGCGTGGGCTTGCGAGTTCTCTTGTTTCTTTCGTTCTCTGAGAACGGGCAGAGTATTCTGACTTAAAATAGCACCTTTTGAACCGCCTTTTCTCTGTTCGCCCGTAACGTTGTCGACTAGCACAGCGCCGCAGTGATACTGCCACTCCCGCGCGCTCGCCCCACAAGACCCACGCTGCGACAAAAACTGTGCAGAATCTTCACAGTGTACAGAGAAACTCCTGACAAAGAGACGCAAGAAGTCAAAAGAACATGACTCAATTTTAGCGCCTTTAGCAAAAAATGCACTCAAATGTCATCGATTTATCGCCTTAGGGGGCAAAATCGCATCGCGCTCTGGTCGAAAACACCACGTCGAGCCGCACAGGTGAGTATGGCGATGATTATCAGTTTCGGCTATTATCGTAAATCGGCAAGGTCCAAAACTCTCTTTTTCCAGCACCTCGTACTGTGAGGACCCAAGAGGTGTTTATCCGTAGCTTTTTTGGTGGAACTGTGAGGTTTCTTACTGCACAATCTCACAATATTCCTGGCATCTAACAAATGGTTGTGAAGTGAGACACATGAAACATACGGCTGCGTTCGCCGCACGAAATCTTATGTGTCGTGTTGTAATCCCATGAACAAATTCGACCAAACTTAAACGTTTATGGACTGCTCCCACTTGAAACGTGCGCCCACACTAAATCACATAAACCCCTTACGTTAGTAGCCCACCGGCACAAATCGAATCACGGCTACAGGAACGTAATCGAGTTTCGACCGCTCCGCCCAGTAGTTGCCAGTCGAGCACGCTTCCTTACCTTGCGTTTTTTTTTTGGCTTTATCCAACCCCGACTGGTGCTCCATTCAATGCTCTGACGTGACGGGAGATCAGATGAGCCCAGCCAGCTCCGCCCACCACAACGGCGACCAGACCGCACGCCGACCTATTGACCGTGACCCCACCATGCAGCGTCACCGGCGACCAGATTTCGGGTTTACGCCAGCACGCAACACGCCGAAACCGACCTCGGCTGACCTTCCTCCTGCGCCAACTCGGTCACGTGGTCGCGTTCACTGGAAGAGCACGAGTCACGCTGACATCACGTGACGTCCCGTCTGATGGGGCGCTCACGCCCGCACGATACACAGGTGTGCATCACTGCAGCCTACCCGACCATGACTCAGCACACCCGCGGCAGGTCCGGCGCGCGGGCTCCGACTCCGGGCGACGCGCCGACCGGGGTCCGGCAGGCTCGGGCGGACGCCGCGCGAGACGGGGCTCCGGGTCGAAGCCGAGGAACCCCCGGCCGCTACCTCACCCGGGCGACGCGCCGACCGGGATCCGGCAGGCTCGGGCGGACACCGCGCGAGACGGGCTCCGGGTTGAAGCCGAGGAGCCCCCGGCCGCTACCTCACCCGGGGACCGGCCCGCCCGCGGCCTGGGCCGTCCTCCTGCAGCTCGTGTGCCTCCAGGCCGATGCTGAGGAGCCCCCTGGCCGTTACCTCACCCGGGGACCGGCCAGCCGCGGCACTGGCCCTTCCTCTTGAAGCCCGTGCGCCTCCGGGCCGATGCCGAGGAGCACCTGGCCGTTACCTTGCGTGGTTTCTCATAACTCGCACATGGCGTGCACATGACTTGCATCCGCGTGTTTGGACGTGTTTATCTGCAATGCGTTTGGAATGCAGTGCTGCTTTCACAGGAACGCTTCTTTTTGATGATGGTGAAGTGGTAAATAAGATTGCTATCATGATGTCAACGTACATTTTGGGTGCGGCCAAATAGCGCACGGCTGCTCGTTGGCCATTTACCTTCCCAGCAGATATACACATTGATCATAGGGACTCACCCAGAGATCTGGATCTGGGTTCCTAGAAAACATGTCTCGCAAATCAAATTCGTTTTTTGCCAAATAGCTGTGCAAGATCCAAAATCATTAGCATGCTTTGGTGGGTGGGGAAACTTCAAGGGCACACCAGATCTTTTCACAGATTGTAGCTTGATCTTCAGGATCATTTTTTCTGCAGTCCTAATAGCCGATTCATAAGAAATGAAGTTAGGACGAGATCTCATTTCCCCGGGGTAGACATTGGGGAAACGAGAGCTCTATTTCCCCAATCCGCCCTATTCTAGACAACTCACCCTAGAACAGTTCAGATCAGCCAGTTATTTGTGACGAGTTATCGCGTAATCAATTTGACATGCTCCAGATAGGTCGTCTTTTCATTTTCAAAGAGCATTGCGAACGCTCAATGATAAAATTTTTCTTGGTATCCGCGATCCACTTTCAAACCTCTGCGATGCATCTGCTGGGATGTGAGATTATTATACATTTTCCAAACAATTCCCTGCTATTATGACCTGCAAACCTCTACAAAAGAAGCTCCGGAGATAAGAGATCTATTTTTGTA